AAAAGAGTGGCCTTGAGCCTTGCAGTAGTACCCTTTGAGCTTTTCCCAACCGCATTGTGTTGCGTGCACTAGCTCAGGCCACGTCTAACATATGAAGAAGTAGTCGTGTAAGTATGTGATGAATAGTGTTCGATAGAAATACGCATATATAGAGTTATAACCTACATCCTCCCATTTATTCATGTATAGTTCGAGCTTTTCAAGCAAACGGTTGTAAGCAAGAATGACCAGATTCATAGTTGCGTAGCTAGCGCCAGACAGCAATGGGGTCATTCGGGCGAACTCATAGAGTAACTCGGCCACCTTCTCCAGACATGTCTATTCGTCATCTGTCAAGAAGTATCCTTGAAGGGCCTCGAGATTCCGGCACGTCGTATTGTATGCACGCTTGACTGTAAGAGCTCTTTGGAGCATGGCATATGTGGAATTCCAACGAGTGCGAACGTCCAATACCAGCTCACAGCGATCTTCAATCTCGTCCTGATCTACGGCTTCGTCGTTATCGTCGGTAGTTGGATGTTGGTGGGCAACGACCTTGAACGAGCTATGATAATGATCCAGTCTTTGTGGAGACGCTCTGATGGCAACAATCCCTTTGTGAAGCTTACGCAACGTTTTGCCTAAGGTAAATTAAGTTTAATTACTATACACATGTTGATGGGTGGATATTGCTTTTTTTTTGCTTATTTACCTGCGTTGATGGTTGTAGTTATTTCTTGGTTGTCACTGTCCAAGGCTTGCTCTGCATTGTCGTACGCTTCCGCTTCTAAACCTTTGTGGAGGATCGCTTGCACCGCCAAATTGATTATATGCGTGATGCAGGGGATACGATTCTCTTCGGCATCAAAGACATCGCGTCCAACAGCAAGTTCAATCTCTGTGGCCATTGTCGTCATATTGGATGCATTGTCGGTAGTCAGAAAGAACGGCTTGGACACGAGGTTCCAATCGTTCAGAACTTTCAGGAACGCCCCCGCCATGTTGGCACCAGTGTGAGGGCCGGAGAGAAGCTGGAGACCTAAGGCAATGGATTGTTGGTTCCAGTCGTCATCGATCCAGTGGGCAGTGATACCAAGAAACGGAACCTTCCATTCACTTGTCCAAGCATCGACAGTGTATGAGAGGCACGGCTGAGCTTGCAGGATGACATCAATACGGCTTCGCTGAACCTGGTACATGGTAAGCAAATCACGGGAGGCAGTACTGTCGCTTGGAAGTTTGACGTGGGTGAGACTTGGGGCTGATTGCACGAGGTTCAACAATCGCTGGAAGTAGGGATTTTTGACAATCATGAATGGCAATGCAGCAGACACAATGAACAAACACAGCACCCTGCGGAAGACCTCTGGATCAAACTGTTGGAAACGCGGCGTGGTGCTGCCTCCCAAATAAGTGTGGAGTGTATTATCTTTTGGTGGTGCATCGACGGGCATGTCCTTAGTGATACCGTGCTTCAACAAATGTTTTATAAGGCCGGTGGTTGTTCCTTGTGGATCCTTGTACTTTTTATTGCAGAACTTGTCTCCCATGGGATAGCGGCAGTAGTAGTAGGTGATATTCTGGGCGTCGTTTACACCCTCGAACCATTTGTACAGCCAGCTCTTGCGTGCTTTAACCCCTTTTCCTTTCGGCTGGTGTTGCACGGAGGTCAATGCACCGGTTTCGCCGTCACTGGTGTTGTCAATCGCCTCATTGTCATGGTCGGTGGACATCGCAGAAAACTGGCGGGCTGTGGAAGGCGAGCTACCCATATGGTCAGGCATTGACGAATCCTATTTAAAGTCAAATAAATGTGTTGGGTCAGGTAAGTGAGGATATACTGATATTCTTATAGAATAAAGGGTCAACTTACTTCATCAGACCAGTCATTATCGAGAGCAGAGGAGTTTCGTTTACCAGGGATGGAAAAAGAAGACGGATTCATGGTGGAAGGTTAGAGTAGCTATTCCAAGGTATGTAATTAGTGAATAAACAGGTATGTGATTATCGGTATGAAATAGAGAACTAGCTATATGTGAGGAATATTGGGAATGCCTACCGTTATCTGGAACAATAATAAATAGAATTGTATGTCTTCAAACAACTTTTTTTTCGCCCCTTTTATATCTTTAATGTCTTGCTCTTTTTTTACTTCTATCAAAAACTACATCGTTCACGGATATCCATGTGATTTCAAATCTTGGTGGCAATCATGACCCAGTTCGCAAAGGCGGATATCATCCTTCGGGAAATGTCGCCATGAAGACAATCATGAAAATTAAGATGACAGTTTCCTAAAACGTCAGATCGCTGCTATCGGTGCTTGCTGGGTTGCGGTCTTTTCGTCCTTTCTCTGCTCAGCATGACAGAGCTTAGCACTAATTGACGGAAGAACGAGCTACTTCCGGATCTAAAGCATAGATGAATGCTTTTACGGATCCTCCCTAACCGGATGTATGCTATCACATGCGCATGACCAAAGACGACTTCGATTGATTGGTATAATTTTTTTATACAACTATACCACTGATATACAGAGCGAAATAGATCAATATATTTGAAGTTATCATATAATCAGCATTCGATAAGCTATGAGTATTTCTGCCTTAACAGGAACGGATGTAATGGCATTACGGATAACGCTTATGCATAGGAGAAACAGTAAAAGACGACCCAGCCTGATACCATTACTAAAGATGCTGTCCCTGGTTTGATATCTTCAGATGCACACTTAATGAAGGGGTGGATGACATCGGCGGGGTCAATTTATAGGAAGAATGCACAAAAGAAAAATTACTGGGAGAAAAAGCAAGTGCACACTTCTTGATATTTGACACTGCTACTTTTAAAAAACGATTTCTAACAAATCAGGTTGAACGGAATGTACGCGATCAAAGGTACTGCATCAAAAGCAGGGATAATTTTACTACAAACGAATGAATGAGTGACAGAAAATTGCGGAAGTGAAGGGAAAGCTCAGAGTTATTTTTTTCTTTCAATATAGTTGCCATTGCCTGTGCGCCATAATGTCTTGAACGATTTCCGACCTAAGCGATTAAAAGAGTGGACAATTTGCTGACACGACCCTTTCCAAGCAGCAGTAGAATAAGATAAAATAAAGCAGCTTTATAAGCTGTATAGCAGAAGAGATAGAGGAAAGTGCAGCTTTTACTCGGTTGGCTTTTTGCATACAGAACAACTGATAAAAGTGTTATGTCGTTTCCACAGAGATCGCAAAAGCATTGACGAACACAGTGTTGGGAACGTGGAAGGATGCACTTGTTAAATGCGACGGCATTAATAAAGCGAAAGGAAAAGCTAAAAACAAGCAGTTTACCATGTTGCTTTAAAGTATAGTATGATTTAAATCTCAAGGATGCCTATGGAGTACAATGCCACTGCCGGCACCGCTCTATTTACTACAACCAATGCATGAGGGCAACGACGATTCGTGTTTTACTTCTTCATATGAAGAGCATGGGGAATGGAAAGAGGATTATCAACTATCAGCAAGTATTGAGTGTCTATCCTATGGAGTAAGTGAATGCACACAATTTTATACTGTAAAATATATGTATGTGTTTGTATGTGTTTGTATGTGTCTTTGTGTGTATAGTATTGCCTTCAGTTTGGCTAGTAGTGTGCGGTGTATTTGAAACGAGGCAGTTACAAGCAGCTGCTTCCTTTTTTTCACCTATCCCTCAACAATAGGCACGTCGAGTTTATGAATCCCTCTACAATTGCCATATATTGCATTCCTTTACGCATTAGCTACAACGACTTTATAATAAACCGAGACTTTTGATTATAAACGACTACCTTTGAACCTTTTATTATATGTAGTATATAAAAATGCTTAAATTCTGTTCCCCCTATTCTTCCCTTCATTTTCGCACTTTCTTTCGCATTCCTTAACAATCTACCAATTACAAAGCCTAACCATGAGAATTGCAATGGAAATAAAACGGATCAAATGGATCAATCCGGAATGGCACCTTCCAATCCGTTTTGAATCCGGATCGCTCAAGCTCAATCTGAATCCGTTCCGATCCGTAAAAGCCCTCGCTCGAATCCGGTTTCTTCTCATTCGAAACGAAACGGATCGACGAATCCGGATTCGATGGCGATCCCTACTTGCCGCAAGCAACTGGATTGTTGAAACGGTTTGGAAGAAACGAGGGACATAGTCAAGAAACTTAAAAAAGTGAGATTAACCAGCAATGTTCAATACATCATCAACAAAAGCAAGACACTATCAAACTGGCGACCACGGTCACTCCACAAAGTGTGAAGATCAGGCTATTGTCATCACCCACAAAGGTAGGCAATCAAGTCAATTCAGAATGATTCCTCGCCTATGGTAGCTTGCCTTGCAGCAAGCTACAGCTATTGTCAGGAGACAGGTGAAGATGCCCGTCCGCTCTAGTCCTGGTTCTCACTATACAAATGGAGACACTATCAAACCGGCGACCACAGCCACTCCACAAAGTGTGAAGATCAGGCTATTGTCATCACCCACAAAGGTGGGCAATCAAGTCAACTCAGAATGATTCCTCGCCCATGGTAGCTTGCCTTGCAGCAAGCTACGGCTATTGTCAGGAGACAGACAAAGAAGCCCGCCCACTCTAGTCCCAGGTACCTATTTGCAGATAATGATGTTAATGAACAAAGAAGAAAGACCACAGAAATGTCTGGTGATTACTTTCTTTTGATTTTTCTCCAGCCAATCAAAATAAACTTAACCGTAATCAGCTTGAAACAAAATAACCAAAATTACACCAGAAACCACAAGTAATGTATGTTCAATTGTATGAAAATACATAAGCACGACAAAAGAGAATATAAAGAAATCAAGCTTTAGGGATCGTAGCCAGAGTGATTCTTGCGTTTTCTGTTTTTCTTGGTCAAAATTAACGCTTCATCACTTAGTGACAAGGAAGGACGAGTCCAAGATTGAGGGTAGGCAGTGGTATCAGTTGCCTTTGAAATGCATTCATTGAGAAAGGCATGGATGACATTTTTCAAGGTTGTGAACTTGTAAGGAAAGAAGGGATCTCGGACACAGCCATGGGAACATCCAGATGGGCCAATTCAGTTATGATATATAGGCCATGCGCTTGAATCTTGAGCAAATAGAAGGTCAAAGTGGCACCAATAGCATGGATGGCTAGTGAAGCATGGGTATCAAAGCTTGTATCGTCGACGGTTTTTTTCGTGAACAATGCAAGGCGAATCAGATCCTAGTTGATCAGGTAATGGTTTCGTCGTTCGCTTTCTCGCTTGGCCTCCCCATATCCGATGTTCACGCCATCGTCTGTGTCTTCAGGGTACATGGTTATAAGACAATCCGGCCATCTGCTGGCAATTGTGCTTTTGCTTCCGTCAAGGGGTTCCGTCGCCGTCCAACGCATACGAATATGCTTTCCATCACTGCGCGAAAAACGAATTATCAAGTTCTTCAAAAACAGCTTGATAATTATCTGGCAAGGGGCAAGATTACAGATATGTACCTTATGGCACCTGCAGCTGCCACATTCGGTAGTTCTGTGCAAAAGTTTACAAAGCAACCTGATATGCAATTGGGAAAAAAAAAGTTGATGCATAAAATCATATAGTGAATGTCACTGCATCCTTTATGAAGGCATTAGCTTCCTCAAGATAGTCCCCCTCAAAAATATTTCTTCATACACAGTCCCCTCATCATCCTTTTTCTGGGGGATGAGGATTGCCATGCATCAATACTACGCGGCTATGCAATGACCATATATGATTTTAATTTATCTCCTTAATTTTTTGCATATACACAAACTATGGAGACAGAAAAGAAAAGCAAAAAAGCAACTAGATCCCCTGATGCATTATTGTCGGTGCATAATGTCAAAGATAGCAAACTCACATACGGAAAAGTGCAGGACAATAACTATAGTAGCAACTAGAAAAAATACCAGGGAAAAACTTAAGGGTGCACTTGAGAGAATATAAGCGGTTTAGTGCTGGTGCTGGCTGCTCGCTCATTTGTCTTCGTTTCGTTTTTTTTTTTTATAATGCAGCATGATCGCAACGAGCCTTTAGTTGCGTGTCTTTGCACGCGGTGTTCTTCGGCTGGTGGAGGCTATCAAATGGTGAGCCGCAGAATACGCGAATATCACCGAAACCGCGATTTTGACCAAGCCAGAGACAGGCACTCGCACAATGGTACTTTTACAGAATCGTCTCATAGTATTGAAATGTCATAAGTCTCATTATTATGTGCTGTATATACAGTGAGTGCTATCGTTGCCGATATTGAGAGTACTTTACAGCAAGAAAATCCATCGCCATCCCCATCACCTTTAGGTGACAATTTGGATATGGATATAGACATGATCGATGATCCTCCCTCCTCCCCTGGTATGACGATGATTTGTAAATGCAATAAACATGGGAATAGACGATTCACTATCATTAAGTAAATAGATACTGTTGCAGGCCGCCGTTTCACACCTTTTTCTGCCGAGGACAATGTGTTCTCGCTTGAAGAAACAGACGATTCCGAGAGAGATCTCGACGATGATCTTGTTGTAAATGCTGACGATGTTGAGTATGGCGATGATGAAGCCAACATTGGAAATGGCAATATCGAACAAGGTTGGTTTTGCAAAGAACGGTTTTATTATACGAAATGACAGAAATTAATGCTTTTTTTTCCCGAAAAAAAGACACTTACCTTGATCCTCCTCCTCCTCCTCCTACCGTCCCTCAGCTCCATACTTATCCGCATCCGTTCATCTTTGTCATTCTTTTCCTTGTGTTGTTCCAATTACACTTCGTCTCGGAGCATCTGTCGTGCACGATCATTGACTTTTGTATTTTACTTCTTGGTGATCTGCAACCCAATGTTTCCATTCCTGGCTCACTTGCAACTCTCCGTCGCCTTACTGGCTTCTCTGCGCTGACCGACCGACTACGCATTTATGTGTGCTGCTCTCGTTGTCATAGCCTGTACCTTTTATCTGACCCTGTCTGCCCAACAACATGCACCAACGATGACATCCGTTATGGTAATTTGTGCGGCAATGCATTGTTCAAGATCAGTGGCAATCGAAGGGTTCCCATAAAGGTGTATGCGTACCAGCCCTTATCTGCGAGTATCGAGAGGCTTTTTATGCGACCAGGATTTGAAGCAAAGATCGAGGAATGGCGAAACCGCAGACGAGTTGCAGACACATTTTTTGACATCTTTGATGGTGATATGTGGCGAGAGTTTCGAGACGGTGATGGCAGACCGTTTGTTGAGCAGCTTCGCTCCCTGTTGTTGACGTTGAATGTAGACTGGTTCGGCCCATTCCTAAACTCAACATACTCATGCGGTGCCATTTACTTATCTGTCAACAATCTTCCCCGGTCCGAGCGCTTCAAAACTGAAAACGTCATTCTCGTTGGTGTTATGCCGGGCCCACGAGAAGCAAGTACATCTGACATGAATCATTTTCTCCGTCCATTAGTTGATGAATTGTTGGAATGGTACAATGGCAAATTGATCAGGACGTGTGAGCACCGACAAGGGACATTGGTCCGCTTGGCCTTGCTCATCAATGCTTGTGATATCCCTGCTGCACGGAAAACAAGCGGCTTCACGTCTCATGCCAGCCTTTGTGCCTGCCATAAATGCGATCGTCGATTCAATGTTTTTCCGGCCACGACCAACATCGATTACTCGGGATTCGACGTCGACAACTGGGCATTGAGGACGTACGAGGGAAATAGAGCCTGTGCTGAGCAGTGGCGTGCTGCGCCGACGATGACGGCAAGGCGGTCGCTTGAACGTGAGAATGGTACACGATGGTCCGAGCTTCACCGACTTCACTACTTTGATCCAGTCCGTTGCACGATCATCGATCCAATGCACAATCTGTTCCTTGGCACGACAAAGCGGATGACCAAAATATGGATCGATCGAGAACTGCTCACAAGAGCCGACTTGGAGCAAATGCAAGTGCTCGCAAACGGCATCGTCCTCCCGCCCGATTATGTTACCTTGAAGCGTAAAATCGAAAGTGGATTCTCGTTCATGACCGCCGACGATTGGAAATCGTGGTGCATCGTGTACTCGCCTTTGGTGCTCGATGGCCATCTCCCGCGTATGTATATGCAAAACTGGTTGATATTCGTGGACGCATGTCGTTTGTTGGTTAAGCCGTCAATAACTATGGACGAAATTGCAAAAGCAAGCACTCTGCTCCAGCAGTTTTGCACCGGTTTTGAGCGACTGTACGGCGCGGAGGAAGTCACACCTAACATGCACCTCCACATGCATTTGGACGCAACGATTGAAGATTTTGGACCCTTGTATGCTTACTGGCTCTTTTCTTTTGAACGGTACAACGGGTATCTAAAGGAGATTAATACCAACCAGAAGGATGCTTTTGAGGTGACGTTCATGAAGAAGTTCTTGCAGAAGACCGGAGCTCGCGATTTTGTCCGATCGTTTGAAGCCCTCTTCGAAAATCGCCAACACCATTTCAGCTTTCTGAATGCTTTTCTGGACCTTGTGCAGCCGATCCCACAAGCCGTCAATGTTATGCAGCATCAGTTCGATGTCCATGCGTTTCTGGCTTTGTCTACCGATGTTAGAGTCACTTCTGTCACAGGAAGCGAGCCGCTACCGACAGACGCATATCCTTTGGATTACGGACGGATAGCATATATGCCTGCTCAACTGTATGATTTCTTGTTCGAATTCTACCAAGTAGCATATGGTGTGCCTTTCCGTCGTCATAACCAAGCTGGTGATGGGCAAGGTTTTGTCAGTGATCAATACTGGAAAATCAAGACAATAACAATGATGGGACAGACCTACCGCAGTACCGAAGCGAGATCGCGACGGGGTGCATATGCGCAGGTTCTCTTCCATGCTGACGACCGTGGGGAAGTAATGGCTTGGCCTTGCGAAATCCATTTTTCTTTCGCCATATGCAGCTTGTTCACGGTCAGCAACTGAGCATATTTTTGCGTACGTCCGTTGGTACGGCATCCACGGAGACAACGACGGCCAACGATTCTCAGACCCTTTCATTGAAACTTGGCGTAGTCGTTTCGAGCTCCAGCGTGGGATTGCATTCTACCGGTTCATCGTTTGTATGGACAAATCGCTGTTGTAAAACTCGGCGCACAGTCAAGCGCAAACGCGCGAACAGTTGTTATCCCTTTGCCAAAAAAAATGTTGGCGTAATCATCCCACTCTTTGCTTTTCCTCTTTTTCTCGTCTTTTTCGTTTTAAAAAATTCTTCTTGACATACGCTTTCCATACAAAGTACGATTATGATCTGTTCCAGGGGCTGCGGTTGGGAAGAGCAAGTAGCCTTTTACCAGCATTTGCAAGTAATCAGTTTAATGGTGCGAATGTGAGTAAGTGTAAGAAAACAACGTGTGGATAATATGAAAGGTGAAAAGGGAAACCCCGTTTTTTTTTAAAGTGGCTGAAAAATAAGTTGTGCCATCATTACCCCCCATTGCAACATCACTGTGTTTGTGCCCACCCCAAACCCACACGGCATACAGCCATGTGACCATTTTATTCTTTTTATCAACTTTAAACATCTTCTACCCAACCGGCCAGCTTCTCACGAGCGCTGTCAGGCAAGGCAACAGGATCAACACCATCCACTCTCGTCAACTTGTTGGCCTCAGTAGTAGGACTGTTCGCATTTAGATGCTATAAAAACAAATTGGCCTGCAAACAGTTTGTCAAAATCTCTGCCAAAGAAGCCACGACGAACCATTACAAAATACATACCCTTTCATTGCGCCATTGCTGCTTACGGACCACAACGCGCTTCCCTACTTCACCAGTGTATTCACCGTCCATCTCTTCTTCAGACATAAACTCAACTTGGAGTAATGCCTCTCTCCTGGGTAGGACGCCTCCAACTGGACCTGATGCCGTCGGAAGACTGCGAGACGTCGCTTGAACTTCTACTCAACATATATCATGAGACTAATACTAACAGCATACATACTATATCTAATACCATATGACGACGACCATTGCGGCGGTTGATCACCTTTCTTCGTGCTGCACGCTCAGCTGACTGACGATTACTCGTGCGCGTATTGTCAAAGTACGTGTACACCTTTTTGGCCAGTTCATCATACGTGTTTCCAAACTGACCGAGGCCTAGTACGTACTCGATGATACTGGCACGAACGCTACAGTTATAGGTGCTTCGAAAACCTTCGTTCCAACAAAAGCCTTCCTCTTTCAAAACGCTGTGATGATGGCGTATCGCATCCTTTATATAATTATATCAGGATATCATGCTAATTACTTCTATTAAGAAGATGTTATCAACTTTCTTACAGAAATATCCGGTGCACGGGTCGTTTGCACGCCTTGGCCATGAGTACTGACCACAGCTAGGTTATCTGCAGCTTGTGTTGCTGCTTGTTGTTGCACCTGCGCCTGTTGAGCAACCACGTTTGCTATAGCCTGCAGTTGGTGATCTTGCGTGGCGCGATGTGCCTCCAGCGTTCTTATACGATCTTCCATCGCCAATATGGCATTGGCGGAATTTTCCCGCTCAACAGCAGCCCGACGTTCTTCGATGCGTTGCTGTCTGGCAGCATTGCGTTCTCCTATTGTGGGCATCTACACAGTATTTCAGTATACGGCACTCAATAACTATATGGTCAACGCTACTTATTTACGCTTACTATGTAGTAGTGTGGATTGAAGGTGTGGATAAGGTAAGATCTATTGGGATTAATTAATTAGGGGACGTTTTTATAGGGATACACAATGATCCTATGCAGGGTGGTGATGATGGAGTTGTGGACAGCAGGAACTTGCCTAAATGACTTTTTTTTTAGATTGATATATTTTCCCTGACTGCATGAATTGGTTATTCTGTCTCTTCTTTTCCCTTTTTTCTTCTTTTCATACTTCCACGTCGTATTTTATCACCTACCATGAATATTTTTTTTTCTATGGTAAGAATCTATGTAACATGGTCATTTTCTATCTTTCACATACTTTCAACTTTGTACCGATGATGTTCTTTCAATCACTAACTGCATTCTTTATGAATCTTCAAGACATCATCACTGAGTAACAAGGAAACGGTGTAAGCTCTCTCTCCTCTTTTTACAGTCTTTTCTGATGGTTGAGAGGTTCAGATACTAATAGTCCCTTATATTTTATTTGCCTACGCTTTCAACTATCTGAAGCTGTTAGCATTTATATCTTCTTATTTAGAGTCTTTGTTTGCACCTGACTGTTGCCACACAAGTAGTGCTATCTGTAAGTAAGTATACTTCTTTCTATCTTCGTTTCTACTTTTTTTCTCTTTATGTATCTCGCCTCTTAGACATTGCTGCTGAGTTCTCCTCTTACGATTTGGCCCTCTTATTTTTGCTAATCGCCTTGCTGTAGATTAGCAAATCTTTGTTGTCATGCCAATGCCGCTCCAACACACCAACCAATATAGCACTTCCCTTTAGAATAGAAATTTTTGCTTAGTTTCATCTCTATAGCATGTTTTTATTTGTAATAATCGTCAATCAATTTTTTAATAATAAAACCGGTTTCGATCAACCATAACATGTAATTTCACGATCCAAACAATAATTATACAACCAATTGCATTGCTGCTCTGATCAGTATGCATATAAAGAAGTACATTAAAATATGCAATGCAGAACTCTGTTGCGAATTTGACTGCACCTAGTATCCAATCCATATATAATGTGATATAGAACCCAACCACTACTGCATACATGATATCAAAAACCCCCATTTCCACGTACATATATGAGCAAATTATTAAGTGGTGAAAAACAGCTTGATAATAACAATCGAAGCTGTTTCTGCATAATTATCAAGCTGTTCAAAAACAACGTGATAACTTCATAGCAAGCTATTATCAAGCTATTATCAAGCTGTTTTTAACCACTTAATAATAGCCTACACACCTAGTGTAGTACATGCTTTTTTTAAGAAAACAATTACCTTCATTTCGTTGTTTAATAAGTCCATGGACTGTGCCGTTTTGTTTTCTTTTTTTTATTCATCGTGAAGAGAGTAGGAGCCATTTACAAGTATGCGTCGCAGCTGTTGATTTGCCATGGTGAATGGTAATGTAAAAAAAAAACGGATCTTTAGTTGTTGTTTTTTTCCTCCCTACTGCTGCTAACAAACCCTACACTTTCCACCTACCTCAGCCACCAGCCTCCAATATGTTTTAAACTCAACCAGGGTGAAATGAAATGAGGGGAAACGCTCAGGCCCTGTTCCCACAGCAGCAAAATAGACTTATGCGCACAGTGAGTCTCTGATGACGCACCCTTGCCATTTCCTGTACATTAGCCTACAAGCTTCTTGTCACGAGTGAAACAGCCATACTATATCTTGACATTGGCTTTGTACTGCTTAACTTCTATTATGTCTTGACTTGAGTTGAAAATCTTAAGTATTCAAATATTCTGCTCTGCTACACTTAACATATTATCTACTTCAACTTTTATTATGTCTTAGTTGACTGAAACTATATCCAGGTTGACTGTTATTATGTCCAGGTTGTCTATTATTCATGTTTAGATTGATTATTATTCTTGTCCGGATTGATTTTCATTCATGTACAGATTGATTATTATCTTGTCAAGATTGATTCTACTCATGTCCAGTATAGAGAGCTCCTTCACTCCGTAAATCCTCCCACCAACATTGTCAACACAGTAATCGCACAAGCTCGTAATGGAGAACTAGAGAAGCGCCGCCAAGCATCTATATCGGTCCAGTGTCTTCGGCCCACACGCACGATCGACCCCGTGCTGTACCTGCCAGCATCTCCGAATGACCGCCATCGCTTGCTTAACTGGCGCCTGCATTGGCTACCTGGCTATTACCCACGCAAGGACTGTCGTTGTGGTGCACGAGCTGTCACCCGCGACCACTACAGTCTCGTTTATCCACTACTCCGTCCAATGTGGTAAGAGCTTACTGACGCCTACGGCACAGCTCCTATCGTACTGTCCGGGATGCATATCATTGATGTCATCCTCAACAATCTACCACGGACCGACGTCGGTTTGACCAACGGAAAATGGCAATCCATATGGCCAGCGATACTACGTATCCTCAGAGAAATCGACCAACTCTGTCACCCCAAGGAACTTTTGCTGGATGGGACGTTCCCTGGCGACGACTTTTCACCACCATTGTCTTCAGAGCAAGATTAATGTGCCCTGACTATCCTTCTTTCTTCTGTCATTAATTTTAATTTATTTGTAACAACCTACACAGACCTTATCATACATGCACTACCACACTGGCTTAACTTTTTCCTCCTGACCATGGGGGGTTTTTTAAGTTCTTGCATCTATTCCTTATATATAACGTATCCACACAAACCGCAAGGAAGCGACCGCAATGTCTATTGGCGCAGGTCTACAGTCTGCCACAAACAATAAAACCAAAATTTTCATCTACTCATGTCCAGATCGATTCTTATTCATGTCCAGGTCGATTTCTATTTATATCTAGATCGTTTTTTATTTGTGTCCAGATCGATCCTTATTCATGTCCAGATCAATCTTTATTCATGTCCAGACCAATCTTTATTCATGTCCAGATCGATCTTTATTCATGTCCAGCTCGATTTTTACTCATGTCCAGATCGATCCTTATTCATGTCCAGATCAATCTTTATTCATGTCCAGACCAATCTTTATTTATGTTCAGATCGATCTTTATTCATGTCCAGCTCGATTTTCTTTCATGTCCAGCTCGATTTTTATTCATATCTAGATCGATTTTCATTCATGTCCAGCTCGATTTTCTTTCATGTCTAGATTGATTTTTATTCATGTCCAGTCAGATTAATATTCATATCTACTCTGCCTAAAATTAAATCCCTTCTGCCTAAATAAAAGTTCAAACGTCTGCTAGGAGATGAAAAATCCAGTACGTACCTTTGAAGGAACACAATATCCTACTTTCAAAGCTGCAGCGCAAGCCCGTGGCTTACTACAGGATGACAATGAGTAGGACAGATGCTTTACTGAGGCTGCTGAAGTCACTACATCAGCATCGAGGCTTTGTGACCTATTCACCATTATCCTTGCGTTCTGTGATATTGTTTCGCCTGGAGAGCTGTGGACTAGTTATATCGATGAAATTGCTGCCGACTTCCTCAAGTATTGTTGCCGCCAAGTACAGCTTGAATCCGGTCAGCAGTATGTCGAGCTTTTAGATGACAATGTTGCAGCAGCACATTTACGCGTACTAGAGGAATTAGCATCTTTGCTACCTTAGGATAGGCACTCATTGATCGAATTCGCGGACATGCCACAGCTACCAAAGTTAGAACAGGACAATCGCCAGCATGCTTACGATAGACTTTTGGCTCAAGAAACACGATATAACTGTGTTCATCTCCGTGATGTCGTAAGGCGTGCAGAAGATGACTTTAACGAGGCACAAACATATGCCTATGATCAAACTATCTAAGCAATTCAAGACAGCCAAAATCCTTCTGTAGCAGTACCAGAGCGCGGTCGAGTTTTTCTCCTTGATGGACCAGGTGGCAGAGGAAAAATGCTTGTCTATAACACATTAGGGGGTTTCAAACTCCTGGCCAGCTGGCCAATTTTCGCCGGATAGACCCAATTTTGAACCGAATTTTGCCAGCTGGGATGCTATCCAGTCAATTCTATCCTACGTCTCTGGAGGTGCAGGATAGAGCATCGAGCTGTTCCTGTCATCTTGTCCAAATCCATATATTTTTAATTTTTGTCTCAACAATTTGTAATCTCACCTAATGCCCAAAACATCCGACTGCCAATAGACTCTGTCTCAAGTAGACACTGCAATAATGTTCTGCATGGCGCGTAAAATGCAATTCCGCTGGGACACAAAGGGAGAAAAAGCTGCACGTAAACGCCTGCGAGAACTGGCAAACATCAAGGCTGGCATCCTCTGCCACCAAAATTTGAACCCTTCGAGAAGTATTCCCAAGCTCCTGGAGAACCGCAACTTTTTTTTCAAATGGTCTACCAAAGAGTTCAAAAAGATTGTTCGGATGAATAAGAAATCATTTCGTAAGTTAGAAGCACTGGTGACGGATACACCTACTTTCCGTGAGAGGTCGAGTCAACAAACGCCTGTATCGATTCAGCTTGCTGTTGCTCTAGAGTATTTAGCTTACAGTGGTACGGGTGCCGCGGTTGCCCAACTTGCGCGTGAATGGGGGGTTTCTGCCAGAACTATACCCTTGTTCAATGACAGAATCCATGAGGCCATCGACTATTTGGCACCGAGATTATTAGGTGGCCAGACACAGAAGAGCGTCGAGCCATGTCAGCACGGATCCAAGAGTTGCATGGCTTCCCCCATGTTGTTGGGTTTGTCGATGGCACACATGCTATCTTTTCGCAAATGCCTGCTATTGATGGATCCACGTATTTTACTCGCAAGTGCACCTACGCGCTGAACGTACAGGCTATATGTGATGACCGCCGATTCATTCGCTTTCTTCAAACAGGATGGCCAGGTTCCGTAAGCGACTCTGCGGCATTCAAGGACACTTCTGTTGTGACTCAAGAGCAAGACTATTTCACCAATGAAGAGTATTTGATTGGTGATGCTGGATATGCTTTGAGCACCAGGTTGCTCACACCTTACAGGCAGCCAGACACCGAAGGAAACGAACAAAATACAATGTTTAATGAAGATATTGCTTCAGCGCGCGTTGTTATCGAAAACACCTTTGGTATTCTGAAAAACTGCTGGCAATGCTTAAAAAGAATGCATTTTCAAGTCAAAAAGAACGAAGACATGCCGAGAGTGATAAGGGCTATTGGTGTCACTGTGTGTCTTCACAATTTTTTGCTTGAAGAAAATGATGAGTGGCCTGCTGGCCAAGCAGCGGATGATACTAGAGTGGAGCGCATCGAACTATCAGTGAATGATGATACACCAGCATCACTATGGAGAGAAAGGATTAATGATTTCATTTCGTGTCAAAGAGATTGATAGCATTTGTAGTATACAGATGTAGCGCATTGATTTTATATATGATTAAAGTTCGTTCTGAAAAAACTCATCCAAGAGATCACGGATCTTATCTTTATCCATTCCACTAAGAGCTAAGTCGCGAACGAAGTTTGCTTTGGTGGTAAGCTTCAATTTGTCCCAGTCGAAATCGAGACGAGCTTGCAAATGAGCTCTCTCCATTGAAAGTTTCTCATTTTCCAACTGGAGACGCCTCTTTTCAAGCTTCAAATGCTCTTGTTCCGTTTCGGCGTAGGTGGCTGCAAAGTCCCGTTTCTTGGTGCGCTTTGGGGGCTCATCATCATCTTCTTCTTCTGACACGGGAAGCGATGATTCTCGAGAAGGAGCAAGCGTAGGAGCAGAGGTCGAAAGAGCACGCAATTGTCTGCGCGTCAGACTCGAGACAGGACTTAGTGTACGATTGGCGAAATCATCCATGTCCTGCAAGATTTGATCGAGATCCTCTGGCTGCAGTCTGTAACTTCGTTCGGGCTCGTTATCTTCTTGTTCGAAAGCTGGTGTACCTGGAACGGTCGAGGTTTCAGGTACCAAGGTAGATGCTGAGACGCCACCAAACTCTCTCACAAGGATCGGATTGACGTTATGCTTCTTGCCAAACAAAGCATCCATCCGCGCAAAGTAAGGACATTCGTACTCCTTGCGCTCATCAATCGTCTTTAATCCAGCCTTGATGTGCTTTGGCTCAAGACCATATCCCGTGGCATTTCTCGATGCTCTTTCTTCTGCCTTATACTTGTCTTTAAAAGTTGAGAACCGGCCTTTGGCTGATTTTCCAGTCCAAAGTTGAAGATGGTTGGGGATATTGACATGTTTGTTGACATATCCCGCAAGAAGTTCAAATCCAGTTTTGGGCTTCAACTTCTTACCACCAACCGGCTTGCCTTTAGCAGCATTACCTGTCACTAGGTCAAGGCTCCCCGGTTTCTCAAGCCAATCAACCATTGCTTCGTAGTGCTCTTTGGTTGTGCGCTTGTAAGCAATAGGTTTTTCTTGGCCTTGTGCATTACCACCTGTCTCTCCTTCGTCTTTTGTTTCACCTTCGCTTTCTTTCTCTTCTTCTTCTTCAAGGCCTTGATTCTCTTCTTCAATTCCAGAGACATCGCGTGAATCGGACACCACATCGGTGGGATTAGTTGCGGCAACGTGAACCCTGTGTTTGGCTGCGGGGGCAACAGGTGCATTGGAGCTACTTCCAGCTGTCAAGTTGCCACTGTCAGCGTTTCTTTTTCTTTTCCCAGTTGCATTCAAAGAGCTGGTTCTTCTCATTGCAGGTTTGGAGATGGAAGAGGTAGATTTGGGTGTAGTCATGTTGATTAGAATAGAAAAAAAGAAGCGTATGTGTGTTCTGTACAGCCTATCTGGTGAAACTCGATCCCAGCTGGCAAATTTGGTTCTATCTGGCAAAATTGGGTCTATCCGGCGAAAATTGGTCAGCTGGCCAGGAGTTTGAAACCCCCTATTATAAGCAAACGTTTGAGCTGAGGATGGAATTGCCATACCCATTGCTTCTTCCAGTATTGCTGCAGCTCTGCTACGTGGTAGTCGTACAGCACATAGTCGTTTCGGGCTTCCTCTGGATCTCGATAGTGACACTGTCTGTTCTATTCGAGTTCAAAGTCCTCAAGCCCGAATACTTCGACAAGCACAACTTATCATCTGGGATGAAGCACCAATGTGTTATAAATTTGCTTTCGAAAAAGTTGACTGACTGTTCAAGGAAATCATGGCTGTCACTGATCGTTGTTTACAGTGTATCCCATTCAGTGGAAAGACTATCGTCATTGGTGGCGACTTTTGTCAAACTATACCAGTAGTTATTAAAGGCACTAAACCTGACATCCTCAATGCTTCTTTGACCAACTCCTACCTTTTCCACAACAATATTGTCTGCGTGCTCCGTCTTACCCAAAATATGCATGCTCAACAAAGCTCTGATCCAGTAATTGCCTGTGAACTTCAGCAATTCGCCGATTACCTTTTGCGTTTGGGTGACGCACGTGAGCCCGGTACATCCATTGCTGGCTCAGACGCTACAACAATCACCTTGCCTCCAGAATCCAGTGACATTACCGCCAGCCTGACAACAGTAGTTCGCGCAGCTTATTCTGACTTAGAGGAATAATACACCAGTCGCGACTACATGACAGGCTGTGCTATTTTAGCCCCT